AAGGGGTGTGTGTGTGAAAAAGAAAGGAAGGGAGAGTAAGTGACTGTGGAAGACTTAATTCCTATGTTCTACTTCTGCATTTTAAAAACATGCACCCACCCTTTATCTGCTCTTCCATCTTGTCTTGTTCCCCATGCCAACTTCTGCTCACCTTAGTTTTATATTTCCACTCTCCGGGTTTCAATAGAGCATTTTCGATACTTTCAGGGAGTTATTTAGATTTTGCAGCACTTGTAGCCTGCTGCTTTCCTTTCCTCTTCTTACTTCTGATCTCATACGGTGCGGCAGCAAAGCCGACACCACAGAATCTACTAATAAGCCAAGCTGTGCTAATTTGGCCTTCAGCAGCAATGATGCCAGAAAGTGGTGTTTGCATCTTCCAGAACTCATTCGTATGTTCTTTCCATTTTTTAAGGTCAGCAAGCACAAAGCATAATGATAGAATTCCATTTGTCTTTCGCAAAGGGTATAAAAGGGCTTTTTTCTCCCTTCGTGCCACAGTCCTGACAGAAAGCTTAATTTATCTAATCAGATACAGAGATGAGAAAGCTTTGTAGTATACCACCGCCACTGCAAAAATGGTGTGTGCGCACGTGCTGCACACGTGTGTAGTTGCGTGAATGCATGCCCACATATGATAGTTTGCACTGTTATGAGAACTAGCAAATCCAGATGACAGGTTCTTTCTAAGACCACTGCATAGTTATGATACATCTGTGTGAAGGGCAGGTAGAAAACTCTTGTTACCCCAATTGACCTATAATTGGGTTCCTTCCAGTAGGTTTATAAATAATCAAATAAGTACAGCTACAGTTCTATTACCACCATGGAGGGGGTTCTAGGCACCAAACTTGCTTTAGCCAAATTTGAGTAATCATAAAACTGATTCTCCTTGCAGAATACCATGCGTGCCATGTTTTCTTAGTAAAAGGGCTAAATACACAAATTTTACTTCATGGATGCTGGCTCCAGGAAAAGAAGGAAAACCTTTTATAAGGGAGATGTTTAGAAGTACCTCCCATTTTTGGGAGCTTTGCATAACACACTGAGATGCTAATCATTCTTAACACCACTTCTTTTTCTTCCATGTCCTCCAAGCTATGCAATTTGATCTCTGTGGAAACTCATGTGATCTTGCTTGTGAGTGCCCATGATATTATCCTAAAACTGCATGAGTTGCCACAGCTAATCAGATTAAAAGGCAGCCTAGGCAAATGAGATAGCGAAGAAGGCACAAAGTGCCAAATGGCAGTTGTGAGGGAGGAACACTGTTGAAGTTCAAGCACCAGGCTTGCAAAGATGGGAGTCGCTTCAGATAGGAAATGACTGTTAGCAGTTGGTCAACAGAAGTGGATTTAAGATAACTGGATTTAGGACCTAATGTGCCAGTCACTGCCTTTGGTTTGGTTTTGAAAGAGGATACTGTGCCCGCACAGCTAAATCATGACCAAATATAGGGGTTAGGTCTAACAAATTCTGCTCTAGAATTCTCAAGGCTCTGTTATATGTGGCTGCCTGTAACCTTCTGAACTCAGGTTAGAAGCATCCAACTGAGTGCAGGAAGAGTGGGAAGGCCAGCATTGGCTCTGCAGACCCTTCATCCTCCCTGAGAAGAGGCTGAGGCACTGCCTGAATTAGGTGGGACCTGGCACTGCCAAGTCCTTCTGCCCATCTACCCAGAAATTGTTCCAGTGTCTGTCCCAAAGATCTTCCATTTGTGTGGCCCCAGGCAACACAGAAAGAACTGCACTTGCTGAGAGGGCATCCCCCAAAGGCAGAGGCTCTGCTATGACCTTGATGGCCTTTCTGAAGTTGTAGCAGGGACTGCGCCTTTTCTGTCAGATAAAACAACAGTATTGTACCCCAGCCTGCCTACCATCCAACAAGACATAAGGGCATTATTGAGGACTACTTTTAAGGAAGTGTGCAGAAGTATTTTAGCCCATGGGGAGAACTCCATTTCAGAGAAGTTCTGGGGTGTATGTTCTGGTGGTAGGCAAGGACAGCAGCAAAAGGAACAAGAAGAAACACCAAGAAATACTAGCACAGTATTGCTGCTGGCAATGATAGCTTTTAGCTACAAAGCCTTAGGAAACCTGTCGTTTTGGAATGGGAAAGGAACTGCAGACCCTCCTCAAAACCCAAATGATCAGTGGTGGGGAGAAAGTTGGTGGAACCAAAGGAAGGAGTGTCCCTTTGAGTCCTAAAGGATCAGGTTGGGAGCCCAAGAGGGCCAGGTTTGCCCCAAAAGCCTAATGCACTGTACTCCTGCTTGAAGAGAAATACATATGGAAAACCATTAGGAAAAACTACCTTGTCATACTAGGAATCCCCAAATAATTTTACTAGACTGTGAATAAAGTGAAATAAAGTGTGGGGCCATGCAGGATTTAGAATTTTCAGAATGGGCAACTCCCTAATCCATACCATTCTGCTTCACTTTTGCTTAAAAGCCTTCTGTTTTAATGTCAAGTGACTTCAGCTTCAAAACTTTTTAAATGCTTCATTGGGGACATGAGTGAATAAAAGAGTGAAACAGAGTGCTTCAGGCATTTTTCTGAGATAAGAAGAAAGGGCTTTAACACCTAAGAAGGTAAGGAGAAAGTAAGTTGCTTTCTAAAAATTTCTAGGTAGGCCAATTTAAGATTCACCCACCACCTTTTGACAGCCGGGTTATATTTTGCTGCTTGTATGTGTTTCTGTGTGTTTTAAACTGCAGATTGAGCTAAATGCATTGTGATTAGGCCTGTAGGGCAAGGAACCAAAGTAATGAAAGCACAACTAGATGAAAGGGCAGAAAGCCAGAGGGAAAATAAACTAACTACACATTTCTAGAACAAATTCCATTGCTATTCCTACAAATGCTTAGAAGAAAGCCAGATCAAGAATTTATTTTTGTGGATAATATTCTATTCTTGCTGACACTTCAAACTTGCATTTTCAAAATAGGGGTTTTCCTAGGTTGCTGTAGTAAAAGTCAATTCTATTATCCTAGAATAGTTCGGGCAGATGTAGTGCGTGTTCTGAATCTCAAATGATTTCCACCTGACCTTAGCTAGACATCACAAAGAGGAAGGAGACCACAATGTATGGGGACAGGGAACGAAATGTAAATCTCAGCTCTTTAAATGGTAAACACTCTTCACCAAATCCTCTTGGAATGGTATGACTAGAGGAAATTCCACATTGCTACACAACACAAAGCATTTTCAGAGCTATAATCTCTTGCTTTGTATATGGCTAAGAAAGTAGTGCCAAGACACCAAGGAAAAAGGAAGAGGTGACACACAAAAATTCAAATCAGGACAGAATTTATTCTGTCACACGAAAAACTGGAGAAGGTAACTGCTTAAAAATAGGTATGTGCTTACCGGTGATTACAAAAATGTGGAAGTTGATACTTAGAACCAAAATGTACACATAACACATTCCAAAGAACTCAGCTTTTTGGCACTTAACTACTGCTTATTACTTCACTTTTTTAGCTTCACTGATACTAGCAATGGCCAGCACAAGAACTGGGGGAACTAATGGAACTAGTAACAAAGCTAATGGAACTAGAATCCCTGATAAACTGTCATAATTTGATAAACAAAACTGTAACGATCAATGCATTACTTATACAAAAGTGTGCTGCAACTAATTCCAAGAAGTTTGGTATGCAGTGACTTTATGCAGGAGCAAAGAATGAAAACTTAAGTGCCAAGTTTAGCTACTCAACAGAAAATTAACATGTAGCACAAAGAAACCAAATGGCTTGACAAAGAATAAATATTTAATGCTCCCCCCCCCCCCCCCAAAAAAAAAAAGAAAAAGAAAAGCAGAACTAGCACTAGCTGGGAGATGAATTTTGTGGGTTAACTCAATCTTAGTCCTAGTCAGAGTAGAACTACTGAAATGAGTGGGATATAAATTAGTCATGATTACAAACCTCATTCAAGTGGATTTAAGTAGGAACAGTGCTGAATTTAACAGGTAGAACTTTTTAAAGCTAGCAGGCCATGACTCAATTTACTTAAGAATCAAATAGGAAGGGGAAGAGAACTCCATGTGATATTTTGCATTCTTATACAAAGAGCAAGTTGAAGCTTGGTTCAGTAAACTGCATGACAGTTTGCTTCTCTTGTAGAAGCCTCATGTGAAGTGTACCAAGAAAGCATCACTTATTCAAAGACATTCAGCAAAAATTAGTGTTGTGTTAATAATAACACTAGCATTTCAGATAAAGCAGCATGTTGGAGTCAGTTCTAAAGCAGAGTACAAAATAGTATTTATGGTGGTATTATGTAGAAGACAAATACCAACATAAAAAGATTAATATTAGTGACAATCCAAAGATACCTATGAACAGAAGGTTGTATCAACACCTGATCAGCCATCAGTCAAGTCTATGAACCAGAATCACACAAACATCCTTGCCCTATATACTGAGGATACAAGAAACAAGTACTAAACGTCCTTGCCTGCAATTTTGGATTCAGAATGAGACAAGTGCATGTAAAGAAGCTTTTGCACTGAATCCAAAGTATGCTTTTATCAGTATCTGAACGTCAGAAAATTGCAACTGGGAATTAGAAAGAATTCTCCATCCAAGAAATGTTTGCTCATACTTCCTCCTCCACAAACATGGTGGTTTTTAAACAAGTAAAAGTTTATTTCAAGTTATTACACTTGTCTTCTAGTCTTATTTGGCACCCTGGTAGGCAAAGAGGGGGGTTCATTGACATCAAAGGCATTTGGGGGAATTGGGAAACAATTACTGAAGACCAACACACATAGGTTGTTGTAAATGTAGCACTGAGATAACTTCCAACAGATGGTGGGCAAAGGGTGTAGCATTTAGCAATGTTGAAACTTGTGAACAGAAATGTTGTCCAAGGTTCTGAAGTAGGCTACATTACAGGAATCAAAGTTTAGGTGATACAGTGCCATGTGTCAGCAATTTCTTCTAATAATAAAAGTCAAGTATGGTAGGCTGTGAAAAAAATTACGTATCAGCTCTATTCAGGTGATATTTTATTACCATATATTATGCTTTACAAGTTTTACCAAAGCTCATTAAAAACACTGTAAAATTATACCCTAACACACAAGAAATTAACTGCATGACAAAAAACAGAGATGACAAAAAGGAGAATGGAGACAGAATGAGGGAAGGAAGCTAAGACAATCTACAGAAAGTGATAGTAATATTAATTAAAACTAGGTAGTTATTTGTTTAGACTTAGGGTAGGGTGAGGTAAATGGGTGAAGGGTGAGAGATATAATAAAGTCAGAAATTCATCAGTTTTGAGGAGAGCAGTTTGGTGTAGATCTACAGTGCGCCACCAATACACAGGCTTGTTGAACACAGCCACAGCTAATATAGAAAACAAGCTGATATTACACATAACTGTATTAACTAACTTACAATAAGGCAGTACCCAGTTCATACTGCATCCTTGGCACTTAGTGATGGGATATTTGGTTTAACAGAAGTGATATGATACATAGGTTCTTATCTGTTATGGGGTTCTGTTTTTTTCCCTTTTCTTAAAAAGAGGTTACATTATCCCTTTGAACCTTTAAGTTTTACAGTACAGCATTACTCATGTAAAAAAATATCTGATACTGATTCAAAACAGAATACTACAGGAACAGTCTGTAAACAAGAGCACATGAAAAATTAAGAAATGAGTTACTACTAAATTAATACATTTAGGAATGGCCAAAATAATGTTCCTAATGGCTTAAAGGATATTTTCTTTACATGCATTATGTAACCAAAAGATATTTCCTTTGTAATGCTTGTTAAAAGCAATGTTAGATCCTAAATTTAAAATTCTAGCAACTGCTTGCCATCTTTTCCAGAAGATGGAAATAAATTCTTATTTATGCTTCACATTTCTTTTAAAAACCTTAGTTTTCAATAGTCATTTCCCACTATTTGATGTCCCATTAAATCTTCCATGTGGTTAAGTTATTTAAAAATATTTGACTGAAACTGCTCTTTCATCAAAAATCTGAACACCATCCTGGAGGGAGTTGGTTTATTTATTTTTTAAAAAAAGAGTCTATATTGACATTTACATTATACATACATAATGCACATTTTAATAATATGGTATACCATTTTAAAATTTACTTGTTTAAAATATTTTACAAAGACATTACTTGGTGCTTATTACATATTTATACAGCATGTAATGGAAATTCAGTTTTATGAACATGTACACATCCCCTCCATCCCCCATTTAAACTAATATGACACACCAAACATTGGTGCCTACAGTTCTAAAAATAAAAATCCAGTACAATGTTTTGCCTTTAAAAAAAAAAAGTTTAAAATATCCTTTTTATTTCAAGGAAAATTTCTCTCTATAGTTGAACTAAAATAAATTTTCAGTTTTATCTCTTGAATGAAGACATTTAAAGTGAATTTACATACATAGAAAGATAGTTTTTTTGTTTAGAGTGCAATCATCAGGGATATTCAATATCAGCAGACCCTCTCCCATTGGAATAGTTGAAAAACAGAATCCAATCAAAATTTGACCCTAGGAGTAGAAATTTTTACAAAAGTAAGCTTCAATATTATTTCCTACTGAGACATTGCTTTCTACTAGCTTTTAAAATGAACCCTTCTCAGGAACCATTTTAAATGGAAGTATTTGCATAGAGCAGCCTTGTACTTTTCAAAAAGACAATTCAACAAGTGTTGTAACACAAGATAAGGCACATGTTTTTTCTTCAGTATGTTAAACTCAGAATTAATCTTGAGGAGACAAAGTTCTCCTATAATATACCTGTTTTTACCCTGTTCTACCTGAAATATGCAGAAAACAAAAAGCCAAGGATTTCAGTCAACATGAAATTCTAAAGAAAAACCAGTATTATATTTGAAATACTAAAGAAAATATAAAATCTAAAATAAGAAAAACCAGTAATACATTTAATAGAGAAGCAATATACTACTCATAGGTCTCTAGCTTTTAAAACCAAACCAAACCAAACCAACTACTGAATAATCACAGAGCAGGGGTGTCTAGTTTTAGAGTGAATGTTTCTTTTCCTATTAGCTCCTTTCAGAATTAAGGTAGCTATGTTGTGAGGCACTTAAGGCTAACTGTAAGGGAGGACTGCAATGGATTTGGTTGTATAAAACCTAAAATTGCATATCAAATCCTTGTATCAAACCTTCTACTAAAGTGCTAGAACCTGAAATGTAAAGAAAAAGGAAAAAAAGAACAATACTAAATAAAGTAGTTGAAGGAAATATGCAAATATGCAGTATAGAGTGTTTTATTTGCTCCTATAGTGGGAACACTGGCTTAAAACAAAGCCTAAAAGAACCCAAGAGAAATGTTCTTTTGCCATTCCAAAGAAAATGGTCAAAGTGCCAATTTCATCTTTTAAACAATAAAATCATTTGCCTTATCTTATGTTCTACAATGTGATGCAGTAATAATATTGCAACAGTACGTATTTCACTGTCTAAAAATTTCACATGCAAACTTTTAGGCCATGATAACAGCTCCAACTTCCACCTATAAGTATCACTTTTGGATAAAAATCCTATATGCATGCATATTAAGTGCAACCACATCTGGTTTTCAATCTCCATTTAATAATTCCAGTCCTGATCCAATCCTCCAGAGGAATTTGGTGTTGAATTACATAAAACCACTGGATGCCAAATCAGAGAAAGATCTGGATTCTGTTGGATGATGAAGGGGCTGAAGATGTGTTCCAGGTTGGGTGCTGACAACATCTAATTGCGGTGGATATGCATCATTCAGGTTTCCTCCATTAAAAGTATTCTGGAACTGGAAAAAAAGCAAACTCTGATTAAACCGGAATGGCTTCCTTTTTACCAGCAAACCAAATCCATGTATAAAGATCTAATTTTATATGCAAGTTTTTTTAATGCTTAAGCAGAATGTTATCTGCATGTAGACTGCACTGAAGTCAACATGAACTTAAGTTTCATTTCTTTCTATGGGAAGCAAATACAAATAACAGGCCCATTATCGACTATTTCAGAAATGCACATAACAAAGTGTTAAAAAACACAAGAATGGCAAGTATGAGCAAAAAAGTAATGGAGTTAGGTATCAGGGACCAGAGCAGCCCATACCAATTCAATTGATGCCTGCCAATGCTGCCTTTCAGAAATAGACCTTTGCACCTCCTGGAAAGCCACTTGGGAGTGCTTTCATAGCATCAGACTGTAAAGGTTTTTTGGTCCAAACCCCTGTTGATACAGGAAATATACTGCTACAAAATCCATGATGTGGGACTATCCAGCTTAAAACCTCTAACCACCTTTATTATGGGGGAGCTCAAAAAGCTGCAGATTGAAGAGCAGGCTGAAAAATTCTAACCACATGAACATTTGGAACCTAGCCTCTGAAAAATAATACATAAATCTCTTCCTAGTGGCACTATTCATAAAACTATTCACAATCTATATGCTCTGTTTGCTCTGAGAACCATAATCTCTAACTACTGACAACAGACTTTTCTGATATTATGGGCTTAGGCTGAGATCCAAAGAACTGCTTGGGCTCGCACAAAGGTCTTGTTTGGAATTTTGACTTTTCTTCTTTGAACAGCTAGGCTTCCATAACCAAGAGCCTTTGCAACAGCACTTACTTTCAAAAGCAATTTGCTATGTGTCTGTGTGTTTGCTGCTTGGGAAAAAGTTTTTAAAAGTAAATGGCTCTTGAATTCACTGAACTACTTGTAAGGCTGAAATTTAATGAACCTTGCACCTTACCAGGTGGTATCTGCAACTACAGCTTTGAAATGTAACACAGAATATGATACCTTTAATGCAATATAAAGTCTTCTCATTAAATGTACTGTGTATTTCACCTCAGTTTTCTTTAAGATTTTTAGAAGGTGCTCTTTTTTAAATACAGCTCCATTGTTTAATTTAGAAGAGGGCTATGTTCATTTTCTACAGTAGAGAGTAATCACTTACACCTTAGAACCAACATAAATAATTTGGTACTTACATACTTACATACTTATTTTGATTTATTCTAAATTGAGACTCACATCATATTTTACAAATTTATGTAGTTCTTGCATACATGCATGTTTTTATTTACAAAAATGGCCTGTACTTTGTTGGACTTCAGGGAAATCACTCATCCAGAAGTGATACTACATTACATAGACAAAGTCAAGTAAGAGTTCCGGAAGGATTTCATTAGTCCTGACATTATGTATTTCAGCAATTCTCATATACATTGACCAAAGCAAAATGGTCCACATATCCTGTCATACAGTAATATAATATGATCAACATTAATACCTTTGAGAAAAACATTAATATTTTACATATGTTCTTTACAAACTGATAAGTGAGACATATAAAAAACATATGCAGCTGCCGAGAGAGAGAGAGAGAGAGAAAGTTTACTTTGGCGGTCCCTTTTCATTTGTAAGAAACTATGTCCCTAAACAGCACCCTTCCAACAGCCTAGAACTAGCAATTCAGTTATCCACCTTTAATTGCTTGACCCATCCTTCATCAGAATTATTCTTCTTGTACTCTATTATTTAACTGAGATTCTTGGGTCAGGCGTGACCTCTGGAATAACCACTGACAGCACTTGGCATGATTATAAGCTTGTATGTATGCATGCTCTGTTATTATTCACGCCTCCATCATGAAGAATAGCTCTGAGTTAGGCAACTTTAACTATCAAGTTTCAGAGAAGTTTATCCTATTTTAATAGGAAGAATATGAAAGAACTTGGTGACATGCCTGATCATTCATTGTTATATCTACCAGTTTTGATAGGAACTTGCATATTTTGTAGTACAAGAGTTAAAGACGGTTAAAGATGAGGGGCTATAATCAAGGGACAGAATTATTAACTCTCAGAAGTTTGAACACTGCACAGAAATTTTCCTCAACCAGTAATTACAGTGTTCTAGAGATGAAAAGGATGGTGTCTGAAAGTAAGGAAGTGTTTTAATTAGTTTTAAAAGTATGTGTTGCTTAATTTGCAATCGTATGGATAGAACCAGGTTTAAAAAAACCAAGCAAAGAAGTAAGAATGATCAGGGACAGTGTTTTTGCTCAATTTCTTATACACCTGCAAGAGAAGATGTAATTTTTAACAAAATGCCTCACATTCCATTGGCTGAAACCATTTTTGGCTAAACCCTAAAAAAGGCAGGGAAAAACACTAGGAAAACAGTTATGAGAAGAGCTTACATTTCTGATATTTTCCTTTTCTTCTGCCAAAAGTTACTTGAGACAATGGGCAGTCTTGTGCATAGGTGTATTTAAAATGTTCTTGTTTGGAGGTGAGTGCTTATGTGAATTGGGGTTTAAGGTATGGCACAACCATAAATATGACACACCATTGCTTGAAATGTTGGTACTTATTATAAAAACCAGGCACAGCTTAGGTTGCCAAGCTATACATGGCTGCTCAAAATGTAAAGTACAATGGGGTTATTCACAGGTAACTGGGAATAGAACTCCAGGCTCAGTCTTCATGCGAACCCATGGGAAACAGACATCATTTTCAAAGATTGGCTTTTCTCAAGTGAAACACATCTGGAGTAATATAAACCATATGGCAAGACAGCAGAATATCTTTCCTTTCAGGGAAAGGTTGGAAACTACATCTAACAGAGTGTCATAATAGGCTTGTGGACATCAGCACAACCCTGGACACCATTCATGGTGCCTACTGAAGAGTTCTTAGAGCTCTCCCTTTCCTTTCAGTAGTGTAACATGTTTTCTTACTGGCAGCTGAAATTGTCTCAATCAGAACTAGGAAGAGAAAGAAACAAGTTGAATGTGAAAGAAAAAAGTTGGAAGTAGGACTAAGGCCTGGTGAAGTGGGAAAGAAAAGACAAGTTTATCTTCTGTGAAACAAGTTTTTATTAGCATGGAAAACTGGATTCAGAGGAGCTGGATAATGTCTGTAGACTCTACAGTGTAGAGGCTATGACCTCATAACCATCTTGCACTCAAGCCTTCTGGTCATATCACTTCTTTGTGACTAAAAATTTTCCCATGGCAATTATTTCATGATCAGCTCTAGAACTGTTGCTCAAGTTGCCAAATATATCCATAGACCCCCAAAGGTTGCCTACTCTAGGACTAGCTTTATTTAATCTGAGATTCTGTAAAGACATTGTTAAAATTAAAACAGAAAGAAGTCTGGAATCTGCATGAAAAAATAAATTACTGGGAAATCACACACTCTAACATCACCAACATGGTCCAATAGTATGAGACTCCGGAACCTCCTGCCCACCTCGCTTGGAATCTCAGAATTCTATCGCTGTAGCACATTGGACCTAGAGTGCTGAGTGCTGGGCTTTAGAGAAACATGATTAGGAAACTGTTCATCCAACTCCAAGTCTGAACAATAGAGTGTGGGATGGAATAGCGGAAAATTCCTTCAAACTGTGTTGAAAGCTTATGTAGTGGAAATTCTTGGTATGTTTCCCAAGACCCCAGTTTCATATCTGCTTCCAGAACACTTTAAGCTGTTAATGGATTTAGCATACTCTAAAAGAGAATCCTTTCTCTCTAATTCTGTTTTACCCTACCTCATGGATTTTATTAAAAAGTAGTTAGAGACCTTAGAGACATGCTTGCCCCAACCCTAATTGTTAGGGTAGGGGCAAGCATGTCTCATAATTCATCATCTAACTTTCCCCACTTTGCAGGGTACCATAAACTCCTTTTCCTCAATTATTTGAAACCATCAGTGGTCTTTGTTCAGTCTTTGGTGGACTACTTTTTGGGTTCCCTTTTTTTTAGCTATCCTTTGCACTGGAGGATTTAGTATGCCAAAAACACTTACTTTATTCATGGGTAGCCCTTTGCTCTGTCAAGATGATTGATGCACAGGACCACCTAATTCCATTCTTAGAAGGATCAAGTGGGAACCTGCAACAAAATGTGGTGTGCAGTGGTTCTATTCAGATTTTTAGCCACTCCATTTCACTCCTAATGATGAATTTTCTCTTTAATATGTCTTCTTGAATTATCATTTATGAATATTGATGTTGCATGTTTGGCAAAATTCAGCTAAAGTCTCAAAACAGTTAAGTTTTGATACCAAACAGCACCCCGTGATCACATATTTGATATGTTCTTGCCTGTATTCTGGCTCAGAAAAATATTCCTTAAAGAAAGCACTTTCACAATGTTGTCATTAAGTTTCAAATATTTCAATTTTAAGTTCTAACATATACAAATGTAACTTACACAGTCTATTAATTTTTAAAAATTACTGTGGAAAATCATCATTACCATAGAAAGAGAGGAAGCCAAAAGAGAGAGAGGAAGGCCTCCAAAGAATGCCTTTCTGCCCTGCCCATCCGGATGTATCTTCCTTACTGCAAAGAGGTGAGCACTGGGTGGGGAGGGGACCTACAGATATTTGTGGTTTTTCCACTTTCACAGAGGTCCCTTATTATTTCTAATAATGTCCAGGTTTATTTATATTTTATTTTACATTTATAAACCATCTTTCTTCTTCTTGCAGGTACAAATGGTGGCTTACATAGTTATCTTCTCTATTTTATGCTCACAACAACCCTGTGAGGTACCTTAAGACTGAAAGTCTATGACTGGCCTGAAGTCATGCAATTAACTTCATCAATGTGTGGAAACTACCCCTGAGATCTCCTGAGTCCTAGACCAATACTTGAACTACCTATATACAACACCAGCTCTATGTAGAACTGCTGTTGTCTCTTATAACTTAGCATTTTGGCAAACTTCAGCAACTTTTTTTTCATTTTGACAACTTGTGTCAGTAATTGAGAAAACTTATGACAACCAAACCAAGATTCTTGGAAGATAGCACACATGTTTCCACACTCTTTTCTGCTACATTTAATTTTTTCTTTTGCATTTGTACTTTATCAGGTCCAGTATTAATTTTTTATCTGACTTTCCAACAAGGAAAATGTAACTTTAAAAAATCTTTCAAGGTTTATATAACTGAATATTCACCAGCTCCTTAATTATTCATTTCTCTCATTTTACTGGATCTCTACTCTAAATACTTATTCTTGATTTATTTCAGAGATAAAGAGATCTCTGCCTAAAATGAACACATACTAAATCAGAAAATATATTTCAGTGTCGTCAAAGCTGTTAAAAATGATCCTATCCTTACAAACACATAACTCTTTTAAATATGTTCTATTAAACAATGCAATTAGCCAAGTTATAAGAATTTTACGAAGAGATGTATAATACAGAATGCAGGCATCAGAGGCAGCTGAACAATGACAAATACCTTCAAGTATTTACAAGTCGAGGAGCACAGATGGTTGCGCAAGCGCTAATGTACTCTTAAAGGATGGACTTGGATACCCCAGGGGGACTTTCCAACCCTATTATCTAAAGAATGTATAGCATGGGCTAGAGCCAGGAAGAACACAGCCAAGTGAGCTACATTTATATCTTCCAAAATGTACCAAAGTATCTCCATTCTATTCTAAGTCATTGACCTTTCTAGCAAGATATATAAAACCTTCACTTGGCATGACTAATTTAACCTGCAGAACATGCCATGCACAAATTTAATAATCACCATCATGGTACAGGTTCTTATGTCATCCAAATACAGGCAACACACTTTGTTGGTGGGGAGGCAATTCTCTAATAATGCATGAGCTGATAAGGAGTTATTGGAAGGTTGCGTGCCTTTCCAACAAGCCATGCTTCCCAGATTTGGACAACACAACAAACTGTGGCCAGGCAATGATTCTTTAAATTACACTTGTGTAATGTGCTGAGATCTAAAAAAGACACTCTGGCTTATACTTCTTTTGATCATGTGAGCCAGGTCATACTGTAAAATCCTGGTTTGGTGTTCCATAAGCAGAGAAGCAAGTGTTCGGTTCATTGCTTCCTCTTCCCTGTAGCATGCCAGGATTGCTAAAGTAAATTCCTTTTTGTTGGCAAACCACAGTTTGTTTCATTTGGATGCAAAAGCAAACTATGATTTGCTAAGAAAACAGGAAGTTAGGTTAGAAATTCTTGCATGCCAGAGGAAGGAAGGGGACCTTACTTATTTTGGTTGTGGATATAACACCAAACTAGAATTTTACATTATGTCTGAAAGTGACAAACAATATGCAATTCATGATTTACATAGTTTAACCAGAGTCCATGATAAAGTTTAAGTATTAGAAACTTAACAGAACCTGGGAAACTTCTAGCAATTTTAATTGCTTCTAGTAAACCAAAGTGCAGGCAGAGTCTTAATGAGCAATGTATAAGCTACTAAACTCTGAATCCCAACTATGGATTTAGTACTTCAAACGGTAAGGATCACTGGCACATTTTCTGCACTTCCCTATGCTCTGTGAACACAATTTGCTCTCCCACACCTCCACCCTCTTTCCTGGATAAGTTGCTCATGTTCAAGGAAGATAGAAAAAGGTACTGAGTCAATGTCCCATACATGGTACTGCATCTGAGCCGTGCAGTGCATTATACTCACTACATACCATTAAACAGTTAGCTTCTAAAAGCATATTTTGGTTGAACATTTTGGTTCTTGAGTAAAGGCACAGCTAGGGGAGTATGCTCAACAGAGAAGTAACAGTGGAGCTTTGCTGAATCCAGACAGCAAGTTATATGCACTGATGGATAATGTGTTTGAGAAATTATATAGATGGCATAGCTACAAAACAAGAAATATTATAAAGTATAAAAACTATCCTAGTAGGATAAATGTATGAAATCCAAGAATGTGACAAGGAACACTGAGGTAATTTGGATTTATGCTTCAAATTAAGCAAGGGACTGGGGTGGAGAACAAACTGAGCAAAGCGCCTATGAGAAAATTTACATTTGTAATTCAACTCAAGCAGATCAGAACATTATACAGTAAACTGGAAAATACCCTCCATGCCCCCTTCAAGTTTTCCTAGCTTATCCTAGCCTTCCAAAGAATAGTATTTAACAATGCTTCCAAGATTTGAGGACTCTGGCCAATTTCCAAAGGAAGGTAAGTATCTACACCTGTAATGAAATCTGTTTGAATGATTAACAGGGCAATCTTATGGCACCTAGACAGAGTACAGGAGCCATAGGATCATTCAGATTCCCAACTGTGAAATCTGAACAGTGTTGATCACAGAAGCTGGGATATACCCTTGGACCTCCCACTCCCCTTCAGAAATGGTATTGAAAGATCACCTCAGTTCCATCTCCAACTTTTTAACAATTTCAGAGAAAAGCAGCATTCTGGGAATGGGGAGGAGAGTAACACTACTAAGATATGATGTGTCCTGGTAGCCTCATCCTCCTTCCCTCCCCCCAGAGCACTCTGCAGTTAGACAGCCACTTCTTAGGGTACAAGGAGCATGGAGGCAACCTTCACCTCTGTGCTTCTCCCACCCTGTGCAGGATGACTATTGTTCTCCAGGTTTCGAGGGATACAGACAGCCTTACTGAATTGTGCCCTAAGCCAACCTAGAATTAAGCTTTTTGTGAAGCACAATTTGTGAAATTTTCCCTAGAGACTACCTTAAAGGCATTATATCCCATGACCTCCTGAATGCTAATCTATACTTATTCACAAATAATATGAAAACATTAAGGCCAAGATTGCTCTTCATATAACACTGTATTCCTAAGCACATGTTTTCAGCATGACTTAGAAATGAATTTGACAGCATTAAGGAAATACAATGTAAATACACTTAAATAATCTACTGAACATATTATTTAAACATCTCAGTTACTAATACTCAGTAACATCTCAGTTACTTAGTGTTACTTTTAAAATACTAAGTCACAAAAAGCCATTAAAACTAATTTTGTCCATCCTGAAGTATGAGAACAAAAGAACCATGCTGGATCAGATCAAAGCCCCATCAGAAAAATAAGCCCTATCCAGTCCAAAATTTTATTCATATAGTGTTCAACCACCTGTGTGAAATCAACAGGTATGATATATCTATAATAGCTTGCTTGTTTTCCCCAGAAACTGTTATATAGAGGGTCAACCACTCCGCTAATAAATGCAATATACAGCTATTTTGACTAGTGGCCAGTGACAGCCTTATCTTGCATAAGAAAATAGCATTTCTTGACATGCATTCCTCTTTTTTATGTTGTTAGGTCACAAATTTGTAGAAAATACTACTGTATACCAACTGATAATGTATATACAAGTCTGTTCGTAAAGCCTACTACTTCCATAAGTGAAGTACCCCTCCGTATTTTGAATCTGAGTTTTTCCAAAACAATAATTTCAGATTTACCAAATTTAAGGCATATCATTATGTAAAAAGATTTCTAGCTCAGAAATACAGTAAAATATCCTAGTATTACTGATCTATTAGACATACCAGCTGACTAAGAGACAGTATAGAGGAGCTACACATAGCAGTGTAAGAATTTCCTATTAATTTACAAGGATATGAACAAAGCCATGGAAGCAGGAGAAGATAATTCCATAAGAAAGAATGAAGCTCATGCTATCCAATTAATGTATTTTTGGAACAACTAGCCAACTAACCCTAGAAACAAAGGCACTTATAACATCCTAAAGGGAAGTAAACTTTCTAAGTACAAATTAGCTTATGAATTAATCGTGTGGACATTTAGGTTTAAAATTGTTGGCTAGGGACCCTTAGAACTTTAACATAAAATATTCTTCACATGCAGGCTGCTTTGGTTCTGCTTTGTTTCTCCTGCTAGTGGGAAATGCTAAATCAATCAGAAAGCAACACCTCAGAGTAGTTTCCAAACCGGAACTCCTGGGCTGTTACTTCTCAACAAGCTAGAAACTAGCAGTCAAGAACAAACTGTAGCTTGTCAGTATAGGAGAGCAGAAAACCATAAATCCTGGTTTAGAGGTATATGCTAAGCTTTGCTTCCTGGTGAGTCTTTTTATAGTTTTTCACTCCAACCCAGAGAAACCCAGCAATCAGACAGCATGTATAGTATGCTGTTTGTGAACAAAAAACTAACATTCTCCGCAATGCATGCAAACACAGCCAAGCTAAAACATCAAATATTTCACAAGTTTAAGTTCCATACCTTGTTTAGCAATGTTTGCTGTCCCGATACTGCAGGAGTATATTGCATTTGCTCTGTACAGTTTGGTTGCGTTTCAGATACACACTGGTACATTGACACAGCACCAGCATAGCATGTCTGAGGAGTTACTATAACTTGCTGAGAGTTTATTCCACAGGTCTGACTTTCAGGGACATGCTGCAAACAATTGAGAAACTCCTCCAAGCCCGAAGAAGCTGAATAATTTGATCGCTCAAAACTTCCTACTGGAAAGTCTATCTGTGTAAAGTCTGAAAGTTGTGACACCACACTGGTTGGCTGCTTGTAAGGAATGAACTCTTGCCTACATGCATACGTGGCTGAATTGACTTCAGATTTGTAAGGGAACTCCTGAGTTATTTCTTCCATACCAGAAAAGACATATGGCTGCATCTGTTGCTGTGAAGAGTTAATGGGTATGCTGCTAACAGAGTTCCAGTTTGTGAACATCCCATTGACCTGCATGTGTTTCATCTTCTGACACAGCTGTTGATGATGCTGATGTTGTTCAGACACTGTTTGTTTCTGCTGTTGGTCAAGTTGCTGCTGTTCCAACTGCTGTTGCATTAAACAGGTAGAATTCTGAACCATGGGTGGTTGTTGCTGGTAACTCGAATAGAGATCAGTCTTATTTAAGGATTCCTGAACATAGGTCAGGATTTCGTCTGTTATATCAATGTCTCTAATGTCATCCACACCAGAAAGTTCATTTTTTAAAAAGTCCTCATCTTGCTGAAAACATTTGATATCTTCAAAGTCAACTCCTAGAGTTTTCATGATATTGTACAGTTCATTGTTTTTGTTATCCTGAAAAAGTTCCATGCTGTCTTCTGGAAGCATTAAGTTACTTTCCTGGGGACATTCAGTCTGTTCCTGTTTCAGGATGCTGTTATTTCCCACTGGTAAAATATTATCCTGCCAATCACCTGCCATTACATTACCCAGTTCATCCCTGCTGTCTGCAAAAAGGTTTCTTTCGAAGGTTATTTTATTTGAAGCAGGTGGGCAGAGATACACAGATTCATCCTGCTGCAACATTGCACCCAAAAGTGAATTGGGATCAACAGATTCTTTGAGCAGTGTAGACTTAGAAGCAGCTCCTTTTCCGATGCCACTTTTAACCTTTGCCTGAGAAGAATCCATTAAGCCAGGCTGAGGGAACATCACTTCATATAAGACAGCCTCACCTGTAGCAAACATGAAAGGCAGCTTCATGTTTCGTTTTCGTAAGTGCTCTGCCCCTTCTTCATCTCTGAATTGCAAAATACCAAAAGCAAAAGTTAACTGTAGTTGTTGCAACGCAGAGAAATAGTTTTGATTTTAATGCTGTTATGAACTATTCAAAGCACTGGAACAAACATAGAAAATAGTAATGGGGAAAACCAGCTAAGGCTTTCAAGTTAATAGCTTTGGCTACATCTAGGTTGTGCGGGATTATGCAATTATGGCGTAATACAAAGAGGCGCTAAAACTGCATAAACATGATATAAAAAGCAAACACTAGTAAAATATTATGTAGAAAGAACAAACATATATAGCTTACATATTAGCTTTGATCCAAAAAAAACAATAGGACATACTAGACATGTCCAAAGAACTTTGAATTTACATTTGTTAATAGCAACCTCTTTTCCTGTAATGCCACATGCCACAGCTTCTTTGGAATTAAATGAAATTCATAAACAGTTGTCCTGCACATCCTTCCTCCTTGGTCCTCTTGGTAGTATCCCAACCGAATCCATTTTGTCTCCTCTCTACACTCCAATTGCAACCCCTTTTGCTGCTGCTACTTTCTGCAAGGTCTACCAGTGATAGTCCCTCCAAAGCACTCAAGCAGCATACTAGTTTGCCTCCTTTAAAAATACAGGCATGGAATATTTTACAAATACTTATTGTTAACGTTTATTATTTCAGTTGGTATTTCAGAAATGCATTAGTGACCAGGTGAATTCACCTAGAAGGGGGAGGTGTAGGCACAAACCCTTTTAAGAGCAAAGTTCTCCTAACAAATTTGCTTTGCTCTCAATTGCCCACTGTCTGACAGCTGTCAAGAGGAAAGCAAAATAACAAATTAATTAACTGGAAGCCTTGCTTTGTTAATGTCCATGGATGTTGTCTCCTATTGATAGGCGATACCTACCAGGAAACTGACCAATCAAGATTTCACATTTCAACTATCTGGAGCTGTGTACTAGCTCACCACCAAAATACTAACCCTCTAAAATATAATTTTTAAAAGATATTAAGATATCTGCATATATTTCCAGTACCTTAAAAAGTGGCAAACCAGAGATAGCCACTCTGTTATGCTGGGCTGCTGTAGAGATCCTGTCTTTGTGGTCAAAAATTATGATGTTGTGGCTGCTCTGATAATGGTAAGGGCAAAAAGAGTGCACTCTGGGAACATGTCAGAAAAAGTCTGGGGGAGGCTTTAAATCCATTCCAGTTCCCAGACCGACCGACTTAACCAACAAAAAAGCCCTTGAGTTTGCATCTGACTCTCTCCTCCAATAGAATCAATGAAGGAAGGGAAGAAAACACCATGACAAACTACTGAAGGGAAGAAGCAAAACTCAAGAAACCCCCACAACTTATGCACTGGTCCTTACAAGCCTAGCAATCTACAAGAGATTCTCCTCATCCATTGGAAGTATTTTTCCAATGCTGAATTGAACAACATTGCCTTGGAGCAAAGGCCAGGTATAGATGTTTTGGACAGGAACAGTACAATAAAAAGCCTCTAAAGAAGTGAAAGAAAATATATTTTCATTCATTTGGAACAAGGCACACAAGGCTTTAGAAAGATTGCAGCCAAGAACAGATGCTTATAGCTTATGTAAGCCATATGTAAAATCTACAAGTCTATTACCAATGTGATGAATCTTCTACAAAGCATTAATGCTTAAGAATATGGACAACTAAATTGCAAGTAAATATTTTAACTGAATTCATCATTAACAGAAATATGTTACAGAATATTAAAATTATGTCCTTTAGGCCAGTATTCAAGAAATGTGAAGCTAGTTCAAGTACACTTTGGGGGCTTCAATTACTTTTGTTCAACAGAACTTTCTATACTACATGGAGAACAGCTTTTCAAATAAAAGCAGTGCTGAAGGTATTTATATAGCTACAGAAAAAAAGTAAATGATTTCATTGGACTAGTGCAAGCTTTTTATTGTGCTTCTAGGTCTTTGCATTTAGGTCAAAGAGTCATTTTTTACTGGGTTGGGAGAAGAAGAGGAAGTGCAATAGAGTTTTTATCTCATAAGAAGCTTGCTGGTAAATGTTATTTGCTATATATCTTAGTTTTTTCCAATAAAGTAATAGCACAAGGAATTTGTAAGCTGTATCTTTATTTTACTGTTTAAATGAACTTAAAACATTTGAACCTGCAAGACTTGACTAGGTAGCTACTTACGTAAGGGGTCTTTGTGTAGCGATGATATAATCTGGTCTTCCATTTTTGTAGACCAAGCGTGCATTTGCTTGTACCCAAGCCCATCGATTCTCCTTGGTAAGAAGTCTAAACACAGTCATACCACTCTCTCCAGTTTTTATCACTAAAATAAATTCAGGATAGGAGAAGACATATTTTTTCCAATTAAGTTTGACACTCAGATTTAAATAGAACAACTTATCAAGTGTATCAATATATTACATACAAACTTGTATGACAAAAAATATTGGACCTCCTAAAGCCCTTAAAAATCTAAGCCCTGTAAATCTGCAGGATCATAGGGACTGTTCTCTATTTATATAAAAAGCAATACAATAAAATACAATAGAATCCCTAAAACCCTAATTCAGTAAATTTGAACTTACAGTTCAATTAGTTACAGTTGCATTTTTCATCATTTTTGTTTGTTGGGGGGTAGTATTTGAAAGAAAAATAGAATAATTTACTTCTCTGTTTTGAACAGACATATGTTTCCTTTAACAGGTCACTGAAGTTTCATAAAACACTTTTATGAAACAAACAGAAGGAGGATATTATCTTTGATGAAATATTGTACAGTTAAAGGAAAAACATAGCCTTTCTATACAGGGCATATAGAGTGTGAAAGGTTCTGATAAAAGAAAGGATCCATCAAGGTCAGATTATGTTCTAAATTTAGACCTGGAAAAATCTCTTAAAAGTAGCCAATCTGACTGAGAAAACTGCTGAACTAGCAGCAAAGGAGGCACAGAAGAGGAAGTGCAAAGAGCAGGATGTGACAGGAACACTGAGACTCACACTAAAGGAATCCACACAGGAATATTAATATATTGTTTCTTGCACCTTATGTTCATGTGTGTAATGGAAGGATATGTTTAAAGGAAAGCCCTTATTAGAAAAACAAGAGATTAATTTAAATTAAATTTGTTCTGGCACATATTTGTTTTTGTTTGTTTTGGGTTAGCTTCTTAACATAAGACTGCTCTTACTTCGGACATGATTCTCTGCACAATAAAGCATATCAGCTGCATGGATAAACTGGTAACCTGTTCCTCGCATGCACAGTTCTGCTTCGGTGTATCCCAGTACAATTCGTCCTCTGCAAGATATATTTGAAATGTTTTTATGGCGCCTTTCCATAATTCAAGTTAGTAAGACAAAGACAAAAACAATAAAATCCAATAATGACATCTTAAAATAGGAAAATTTACTACAAAACCCAGATTAACAGAAAACAGCAATGACTATCCAGAAAATCACTATAGCCAAATGCTCTTCAAAATAAAAAAAAAAGTATTTTTGAACTCTTTTTCAGAAAGATTATGGAAACTGAACTGATATACCAGACCTGATACACCAAAATGGATAAATAGCTAATAAGCACTTAGAAGATACAGTATAGCATGATAAAAACACTGACTCAAGAACAAGAAAATGTTTCTGATACAATTACATTAGGCTTCTAAAACCGTGGTCTAGAGTTTTTCTTAAATATCAAGTCTCTGAACTGTACACATGAATGAAGATGAGGAAAGGTTGTGAATTAAGCTATGAGTTTTCACAGGGTTAATTAACTGGATTTTAAGGGAAGACCCAGTTCCACACAGATTTCCTCTACATCTTCATTTCATTTCTATTATTGCCCCACAGTTGAAGCTCTCAGCACAGTTTACAACAATCCACTTAACCAAGAATAAAAATTAAATAAAATATCAGAATATCAGAAAAAGCATACCACCTCAACTACACTATAAAAGTTATTGATGTATCTCAAGGTAACCATCTTCTCTGGGTTCCTGCACTTACTTTGCATCACATCCTATAGGTGTGAAGTCTAATTTGTGCTTAGTCCTGAAGATAAAGTTTTTGGTACGTATTTCAAGAATGGATGGAGGCTGAAGTGGAGTTGCCACAGCAAACAAAGCAAGCTGAGGAGATATAGCTGCTCCATCCTTCCCTTTCTTGTTCTGTCCATGCAGAAATTTTAATCTCCCTTGAAAATTCATGGCCTTCAGAAGAAAAAAAAACTAGGTGTAACCACATACTGCATTTCAAACATGTAATCTTTTTCTTGCTAATTTATAAGTTGTTAACAAGTAGTTTATTGTTTACAAGTACTTAATTTAAGTATCAAAATTGCAAATTCTATCTTTGAATTGTTTTGTATAGGATTCCATGGAAGATATTTTCAAAATTGTACAAACACTGTTTAATCTGCTAACACAAAAACTAACAGTAATATTGTTCTTCAACAAAATGTAGGATATCTTACAATCATCATCAAGATTCTTACTTTTTTAGAAATTGTTCTGATGGATACTGGGTGGCATGCAAGCACTGAAGCATTCAACCTGCTGGAGAGTGCAAAGATTTCCCCAGGTTTTTTGCTTCAGGGCTAAATAGCCCTGGTTCCATTATCATTATGACCATGTCTATTTATATAAACAGAATTCAGAACTGATTTAGCTATAGTAGCTTTTCACATTTTTCAACATTTGAATAATAAAGATTTGCATTTTAGTAGTGACAGAGAGGAAATTAATGCACAGCCCACTCCCATTGAAATATTGTGGGGGACACAGAAACAAGATGTTCAAATGTGGTGAGGCAGTGCTGTATTGGAAATGGATTGTTAATATTTGTTAGGGTTTTTGGTTCATTCTTTCTGAACAAAACGACTGCATGATTGCTTTAGTAGTCAAAAGAGTGACTGGTTGTAAGATTATTAAAATAGATTTACTTTGTTTGAAAAATTTGGAAAGACATTAGTTCAAAACCAATGATCTGGTTGACATATTTCATCATAAACTGAGTCCTTAAAAATGACACAGACCTTGTTTGTAAGATCCATAATTAGAGAATGCAAAGGAAAACCATGGCTTTCCATTATGAGAATGAACTTTGACCCACATACTCCCACCCCATTATCCCCCATGCATGCTATGAAGGTTAGATTTTTTGGAAAAACTGTGATTTCACAATTTGTATGAATATAGGAAACTATGGTTTGTCAAAGCCATTTATAGCAGGCCAGGATCAAATCATGGTTTTGGATGGTACTTTTTAGCTAAACATGACTTTAACAATAAAGCTGAACATGGCTTTAACACACATTTCCCCACAGTTTATACCAAATACCAAATGGAAGTTTTAAAAACTTCCTCCTTTCACATGTAAAGTTAAAGGAATATGCACAATAAGGCTTTCTATGTATAGGAGAAACAGGTTCACTACACAGCACTCTTATAATGGCTCAGGTTCATGTTTTCTTGTTAGTTCTGAATTGGACCTGGATGTGATTCTGTACTCACCAAGAACCCAGATGAATTATCCAGGAGGCAGCGTAATCTACAGATAAAATTTCGTTCCATAAATGAAGAATTCTCTGGAGGTAGCTGTTCTGGATTGTAATACGTTGCTGACTGTGAAAACCCATTATCTCCTGTAGAAAATGTAAGAGTGTTTTTAGAAGAAACATTTATTCTTACTACAACAGGAATGTCCTTTATAACTAATTCCTCACATTTGTTCTCATTCTTGTTTAAGATAAAGATAAAGGTAAAGGTTTCCCCTTGATATTACGTCCCCTGACTCTAAGGAGTGGTGCTCATCTCCGTTTCCTAGCTGAGGGAGCCAGTGTTTGTCTGCAGACAGTCTCTGTGGTCATGTGGCCGGCATGACTAAACACCAAAGTGCACAGAATGCTGTTACCTGCCCACTGAAGTGGTACCTTTTTATCTACTTGCATTTTCATGCTTTCGAACTGCAAGGTTGGCAGGAGCTGGGACAGAGCAACAGGAACTCACTCTGTTGTGCAGATTCAAACCGGTGACCTTTCAATCTAGCAGCCCAGCGGTTTAAACCACTGTGCCACCTGCAGTCCCTTTTTTAAAGAACATATAATTAAGACATAAAATACAGTATAAATAGTGTTTATATGGAAAGTATTTAGATGTGAAACAATTTTCAAAATACCATTTTTTTAATCTGAACAGGAGCAAGTGATTCCGTTAGGAGCAGTAATAAGAACTAGACAGTTCTATTCAAACTATGCTTCTATGTAAAAAGAACTCCACAAGGAATTCCACAGAAATACAGGCCAAATTTTCTTCATCTGTTTTACTATCCACACTGAAATTTAATTCCTTAAAGTTAGGAATGAACCAAAATTGGAATTCACTTGTGAAATATTTTGTACCCTTCAAAAAGCTCTTACCTGTTTCAACTGTTTTTTGAAGGGTAATTGAATAAGCGTCTCGTCTCCTCCCCTCCCCACCAAATCACTTCCTTTTAAGTCATTAGAAGTACAATGCCCAGCAGGACCCCTTTTCCAGTTTTGGGAAATACTTTACCGAGATAAGCAAGAGCAAGTTTCTTTGTAAAAGGCTTTTTCATAGAAGAACATTACCCATTCAGAATCAATTTTCTCCTTTCCAAAGATATTACTATTAAAAAATACAAACCCCATGAAAATATGCTTTAGCCAACAAGCAGGCCAATGTAAACCCAGTTTAGATTTATGACACATACAAATATGGGAACATTTTCTTGTGGGAAAGAAATTGGCCACCGCTTACAGACATTATTTTTATTCATGCTACTTTCTTAGTAACCTCCAAGAAACTACCAATCCAAAAATTTTAGTAACAGAGACAGGTAAATCAGGATTAATCTGTATAAAATGTGTAGCAGAGATTTGTATTTGTAGGATATATTCCAAACTAGCAAATTATGGTTCATCTGTTTGGATTAGGATTACAGAAAAAAAAGCTATGTAAGGAAAATATCATGCAAATTGCATATTGCATCTATGGAATGCGCTCCCCAGAGGTCCGCCTGGCGCCGTTGTTATTTGTTTTTCGGCGCCAGGCTAAGACCTTTTTATTTAAAACTTATTTTAATTGTTAAATTATTTAATTAATAGGATTTTACATTTTTAGCTGAAAATGCACTGGGGGTTTTTAAACAATTTTTTAAAATCTGTTGTACTGTTATTATTTACATATTTATGTATTCTTTGTGAGCCGCCTCGAGGCTTTGTTGTGATGGGGGCGGCATAGAAATGTTTTAAATAAATAAATAAACAAACAAACAAATAAATAAGAGCTATGTGGTGCTCTTTTCCAGATAATGGCTACACTGCACAGATTATGGGCACTGTTTGTTGGGAATGAAAGAGACAGTTGTTCTTGTTGCATGTTTCAGGACCAGGGTAACACCAACTCTTTGGATAAGGACAGAAAATCCTAGGAAGAAAGGTCTACAGAAATAGAGATGGCAGAGGAGGAAGAGCTAACTCAAAGTTGCCATCTCCAAGTGTTCAGGCAGATCCTGGGTACCAACAAGACTGGGAAGTGCTGGGAGAAGACATGAGAAAGAGCCAGAGGAGCCTGGTCCCATCCTTGACCCAATGACACAGCACTGGGAGAGTAGGACTAGCCAACTAGAGGGTTTAGAGCTAGGAGGTGTGCCCATCTCCAGAGGGGCACTCCCAGAGGGGTAGGGTCCAGGGCTACTCAAAAGAAGGGTTCTTGGAAATAGTTTCTAGGCTGCATTCAACAGATGCATGCTCGGACACTCCTCCTTTGTTGGCTATAGCTTGCTGGATATACACTGGAAATAAAGAGCTTTTGCCAAAGAACTGTTGGTTGCTTAAGAGGGAAAGAGGGGAACCTAGCTCCCGACACTGGTACACATACACTGGGAGACAGAAGCAAACTCTGCAGTGAGGTTTCTCACCTCCAATCCCACATGTAAATTATGAAGTACTTAAGCATTTACTGACAGACATCTCTTATGAACACTGATATGCCAATACTTCCCATAGTAATACTTACCTTGTACTATCTGTCCAGCATCTGTAGACTGCACAGGATTTAGAGCCCAGTGAAGCTGTCGTTGGAATTCTGGTCTGTCTTCAGTATGAATTAATTCATATACACTCTGGTGTATAATGTCAGACTAGATTGAATAAATAATAACAGAAAAAATGTCCACCAATATTTGATGGTTACAATGGATACTATATTTTTTCCATATAATTAAGATAGCTCACCAGAATTTATAAACTTATTTACAGTGACTGAGGAAGCAAAGTTAAGCTTGCAAAAACTTAAAGATTTATTTTTCTTAGCAAGTTATCACTTTATTCTCTTTCTTTCACTTAGCAAATGAAATGAAGGAGAGAAAGTCTTACAATGCCAAAAGATCCCAAACATGTCTAGAATAGATCTTAAAATGATCTGTCTGTTTCATATTCCTCAATTTAGAATCAAAATAACTAAATATGCCTTTTTTTCTGTCTGTCTGTCTGTCTGTCTGTCTGTCTGTCTGTCTGTCTTTGCAAAACAAGGGACCTAAACGAGTAATGAAAGTCAAAGTAGACATGCCTTAGCTACTCATTAGAATGGCAAGCAGCAACAGGCCAGACAAACATCCTCTGATAGGGAATTCCTCTTTGGTGTCATCATGAACAAGGTTCTCTGTCATGCTCACTTGCATGTCAGATAGGAGGAGAACACTGCACTGGACCGCAACAGATGATGTCAAGGATCATAAGGATTCATATGGGTAAGAGCAACTCTTAGGATACTCTGATCCCACAGATGGGGTGATTTTGAGAATTTTGCCACAAGTAGCCATAAAATCTTTTGACTTTTTCATTTTGAAGAAGAAAAGGTGCTTACCTGCTGGAAACCTAAATAATCCTGTATTGTCGAAGATACATAAAATATGAGAGCGTCTGATGTGACCACCAGTACAAAGCCATTTAATGCCTGAAGGAAAAACAGCAACAAGTTGAAAGCAAACTGCTGCTGCTGCTTTGAGTATGTAAATGTAAAACAAAAACATGGAGAAAAGTTACTTCTTTTGAATTATTAGACATTGGATCTTAATAGTTCCTTGGAAAACTTATATAGAAAGCATGCTTAAACACAATGTTGCACAGCACCATTTACTGTGTTAGTGGTAGCAACAGCCCAGTTATAAACTGAATCCTAATGAAACACAGAATAAAAGTAACAGTTCTTAATATTACATCAATGTTAGGGATGGAGTTTCACACATGTGCAGATGGGTTGACAATTTACTTTCCAGGTGCAGCCCTTGTACTATACCAAATGACATTCTGGACTTTATCAGCAGCTTTCTGAGGGGGCCTAAGGGGATGCATTTAGAAACAGGATCAGGAAAGGGATCTTTATGCACATAAAGGACAGACATTCTTTTGCATCTAGACTTGAGACTGGCTTCATACATGCAGCAGAAAAAAAATACTATAAGCCCAGGGTGATAGAATGAATTGTACCACTTCAGAATAAAGGTGGCAATCTCATGAAAAAAGAACAAAACATGCCATAGCAGGAAGGAGCTAAGACTGAGGACGAACTCAAAAGTTATATTCTCCACTGGAAGCTTTATTTGGTACAATCTCCTCCATCATTTCAGAATTCTAGCACTTCATTTTGATGCATTTGTAGTCCAAGAATGCAATGCTGGTGGGCAAACATTACTTCCTTATCATCGCTGTGCTACCACAGACTTAATATGCATTCCGAACTCATATTGAGACTTTCAATATATGTTCTCCAATTGGCTCCCTACCCATTTCATTATCTTCAGCTCCCCAGTAAACTAAGCAGCTTAATGGGCTCTACAGCCTGGGAAAGAAAATTCAGAAGCAAGCTTAAACTTCAGTATGTAGTGGAAAGGACACAAGACAATTAATGAGATTCTTCACAGCTTCCTGCCTCGTTAAGAACATTAGATCTAGAAACTGATCTGCATGTGAATTGTTCTGGTGGCATACTGAGATGGACCCATGGTTGACATGGTAGTTATGATGTCTAAGCAGTTCCTTACAATGCTATATCTGCATGGAAGTGAAATTCTTCCAGAATGATTTTCTAGAGATCCTTAGCACCAGCTCAAGGCAAGGAAAAATGTTGATGTACTGACCATTCTTATCACCAAACAACAGTTTTGCCCTGTCTGCAGTACTCAGCATGTAAAAGAGCACCTGACTTAATAAGGATATCTAGAGATCACAGCAACACACCCTCCTTAAACTTCAAGTCTATCTTGGTACCGAAATATATGCCCTGGAAAAGTTGACAAACTAACTTGACATTCTCCATTCTCTATCTATGACCTGAAAGGAGACACAGGATGCTTCTGAACTTGTCCACCCTCCTAACCTGATGCCATATTCTTAGATGAAAGATGTTAGGTCTTCCCTCTTCATGTTTGTTTAGAGCATTTGTATGCCGTCCCATCGCATAGCCTCGGGACGGCTTATATAAATAAAATAAAACATAATACAGATAAAATCCAGATCCACCCTGGCTGCATATTAAAACCTATTAAACTGGTATTAAAAGTTATTAAAATATTGTTGAAATAAAAAGGTTTTAGCCTGGCGCTGAAAAACAAATAACGACTGCGCCAAGCGGACCTCTCTGGGGAGCACATTCCATATGCGGGGCGCCACCACAGAGAAAGCCCGGGTACTCTGTCTCCTAATGTCTTTCATGGAGGGTTCCTGGAGGAGGGCCTCTGCTGCCAATCTCAGGGACCGGGAGGGCAAGTATGGAAGAAGGCATTCCTTTAGGTCCCAAGCCGTTAAGGGCTTTATAAGTAATAACTAGCACCTTAAATTGAGCCCAGACTTCGATGGGAAGCCTGGTAGAGGACTGGGGTTATATGAGAGTAATGTCAGCAACCTTGCTGCTCTATTTTGCACCATCTGAAGTATCTGAACTGTCTTCAAGGGCAGCCCCATGTAGAGCGTGTTAAAGAAATCCTACCGGGAAGTAACCAATGCATGTGTCACTGTCGCTAGGCAATCGTCCTCCAGGTAGGGACACAGCTGATGGATTAGCCAAAGCTGAAGGAAAGCGCTCCTTGCCACCGCTGTCACCTGAGCTTCCAGGGACAGGTTCGGGCCGAGGAGCACTCCCAAGCTGCGGACCCTGTCCTTTAGAGGGAGTGCAAGCCCATTAAGGGCAAGGTCCAAGTCACCTACCCAGGAGCTCGAACCACCAACCAACAGGACCTCCGTCTTGTCTGGATTGAGCTTCAGTTTATTGGCCCTCATCCAGCCCATTACCTCGGCCAGGCACTGGTTCAGTACAGCCACTGCCTCACCATGGATCAGTTGAAAAAAAGAGGTAGAGGTGGATATCATCAGCATACTGATGATTCTGCAGCCCAAACCTCCTGATGACCTCTCCCAGTGGTTTCATGTAGATGTTGAATAGCAAGGGGTACAAAATGGACCACTGCGGAACTCCATAGCATAACTATCATGGCGCAGAGCCAAAGTCCCCCAGCACCACCTTCTGGAATCGGCCATTGAAGTAGGAGCGGAACCACTGCCAAGCAGTGCCTCCTACTCCCAGTCCTGCTAGCCTATCCAGAAGGATACCATGGTTGATGGTATCAAAAACTGCTGAAAGGTCCAGGAGGACCAACAGGGACGCACTCCCCCTCTCTCTCCCTGCACAGGTCATCTTACAGGGTGACCAAGGCAGATTCAGTACCATACCTGGGTCTGAAGCTGGACTGAAATGGGTCGAGAAAATCAGTTTCATCCAAGAGTGCTTGGAGTTGTCCCGCCACCGCCCACTCTAACACCTTGCCCAAGAACGGGATGTTGGCCACCGGTCTATAATTGGCGGCCATCTCTGGATCCAGGGATGCCTTCTTTAGGACCGGCCTAACTACCGCCTCCTTTAGAAGAGCAGGCACCCGGCCATTCCTCAGAGAGGCATTAATGATCTCCAGGATCCAGGCACCAATCCCATGTATGGCCTTGGTCAGTATCCACAACGGGCAAGGGTCAAGTAAACAGGTGGTGGGACGAACTTGTCCAAGCACCTTGTCCACACCATCAGGCCGCAGTAACTGAAATTCATCCAATAATATCTGACCAGACAAAGTCATCGGCACCTCCCCAAGAGGATCTAAATCACTAGTGACGTCCAGCTCGTGACAAATCTGAGCGATTTTCTCCTTAAAGTGCTGGGCAAAGTCATCACAGCGGGCCATCAACGGTGGTACGGGATCTTTCTTAGGGCCAGGATGAACCAGCCCATGTATCACTCGAAAGAGCTCCGCTGGACGGCACTGTGAGGAGGCAATAGAAGTGGAGAAGAATTTCTTCTTCGCCTCCATCACCGCCACAGCATAGGCTCGATAATGAGCTTGTAAGCGTGCTCGGTCAGACTCATCCTGTGATTTCCTTCACCTACGCTCTAGGCGTCTCCCAACCCGCTTCATTGCCCATAGTTCAGGTGTATACCATAGGGATGAATGGGCTCTGCTGGGCGGGAGAGGATGCTTAGGAGCGATCGTGTCAATAGCTCTGGCCATTTCCCCATTTCCACAGTTCAACCAGAGAATCAACAGGAGTGCCAGTTTATCAACCGGAAACTCCCCCAGAGCTTTCAGGAATCCATCCAGCTCCAAGGAATAGGGTCCGCACCCTTACAGAGGGAAAGGCCGGCATCGAGCTCAAACCTCACGAGAAAGTGATTTGACCATGACAAGGGAGTCAGACATAAATTGCTCACCCTCAGATCACCCTCTTCCTGCCCTGTCGAGAAAACCAGGTCCAGTGTGTGTCCACGCTCATGGGTCAGGCCTATGACATGTTGAGACAGCCCCATGGCCGTCATGGAGGCCATGAAGCCCTGAGCCGCCCCAGTCAGAACAGTCTCGGCATGGAGACTGAAGTCCCCCAGGACCAATATTAGCATGTTCACTGAAATTTCTTACAGAATTTGAAACTGATTCAAGACAGAGTTACTGTCTTGCTTATCTTTGGGTTGTCCTTGGCATTTCAACTGAAGATTCTGGGTCTTCCTTTTCATCTGATTCACAATCTGTATCCACCACCTTTGAAGGCTCATAATTCTGCTTATACTGCTATATGCAGTGTGTTCTTTTCCATGTAAATACAAATAGCATAACAAGTACCTGTAGTAAAAGTTCTCCTTCTAGCAGCCCCATGCTCTCTCTAGTCTTTGTAGTTCTACTGCTGTCCTGGATGCCATTTCTGTCAGGTTTTGCAGAACAGGATGACTTTAGTGCAACTACAGAAACAAATGAAATAAACCCTTAATATTGAAAGACTTATCAAATGTTGCATTGCTTAAAACACACTTCATATTAAGTATTATTGGACAGGTTGATGAACTGCTCAAAAAACTTTATTTGTGCACTCATGCTTTCTGGAAGCACTTCACCAAATATAAGCAACTCTTCCAAAATAAAATGAGTAACAATATCTGAAAACCAGTTGAGTTCTAACACTGATTGATCAGTTTCAATATGATGTTTCTTTCCAGTACAAGAGGCTGATGTTAGTGAAAAAGAAAAACACACAAATGTTTTTTGGATCCCAAAAATGTTTTTGGATCCCATCCTATGATTCTAAATAGATAAAATATATATTAGCCTTTGAAGACAGTTACACTGTTATATAAAACTGAAATAGCTCTCAAGTTAATAACTCATATTGTAACCTATTCATTGGGAAAGGCCAAGAATCTTCTGCTTATATCACATTAAAAATAAATAAATAATAAAGCACATTAAAGCCATTCTGCCAGTTCAAGTACAAATATTTTAGAGGGCTTATAGGCTTATTACATTCTACTAACAGAATACCTCCACTGTTAGCAAGAAACAACAGCAATCTACTTCAGAAAAAGGCATATTTTAATCCATTGAACAGAGCTGCTTTGAACTTTTAAACTAAGCAAATTTAACAATTATTCCATCCAAGGAAACAGCATATCTGTCTTCAATAAACATTAGTTGCATATATTTACTACATTTTTTAAAAGCTACGTGAAGGGGGTGGCAGTTACTAGATGAATCAGGAGTTGGCAAACTACATGTAGGAAAAGGTTAAGAACATGACTATTGCCCTCCAACTCCATGGAAAATAGATGTCAATGTGCAGCACAATCATATATGGATCTACACAGAAGGAATTCTTATTCAGTTCAGTGGTCCTTATGTCTTTGGTAAGAATTGCAGTCTTAAAGTCCCCGACTGGATTGGTATCCCAACTAACTTTTAATTTGGGCCTTGACACCATGCTATTGATAAAAACATCTATAGTAGAGCTTTATTAAAATATATTTCATTCTAAAACTCACAAAGAGAAACTATCATTCATTTATCTTCAGATGATAGTTTGTAGTTTGTTTTCCATTTACGGGCCTTTTAATATCTTTAACTATAATGGAAACACATCAGGATGGTAGTATTTTAAAAGCAATTATGATAAATTTTGTGCTTCTCTAACAAAAAAGACAAACATGCATAAAATATTTATATTAGGAAACTAAACATTTGTTTGGTAGCAAAGCAAAAGGAATAGATCTGTGAAATGCTAATCAGCCTTCTGCTTTAGTATGAAGAATACTGTGAGTATACATTACTGAAACAGGCACATAATAACAACAAAATAAGTATATATTATATGCTTCTAAGTGAATACTGCTTATATGTGAAGCAGACCAGGAACTGAAAGTTAATTATTCTACTGTAAAATCAAAGCAGAATAATTACCAAACATGGACTGGAAAAGTAACTTATACGCATTATAAAAAACGTGATTTGTATTTCTAGTAAATCTATGAAGAAGTTGTTGTATTAGATTTCCCATTAGCTTTTAACAACACAGATGAAGAAATGCCAATTGCTTATTTCTGAACTTGAATAATAACGCATTATAAGGTGTCCTTAATTTATAGCAAGTCCTGGCTATTGGTATAGCTTCACAGAGAGACTTTATCTTTGCATGATTCTAAAAATTCTCACATTCTTTGAGCTCCTTTTGCACCTGGGAAACCCTGAAAAACAATCTGCAAAGCTTTCATAGTGCAGTTGGAACGCATTGGATAGGCAAGTCCTTTCACAGGTTTAATAACATAGCAAAGCGTATTACTGTAGCTTCTTTCTCCAATTACTGAATAGAGAAAGAAAATCATTTATTCTTTGGTTCTCTCTATTCTATTTTTATATTAATATTATATGAAACACTTGTTTTTACTATGGTTAAATGATGTAATTCCATAAAGTATCTTAAATTGGTAAAAAAAAGTATATTAACAAATTTAAGAAAATATTGTGAAGATTACAAAACTCTATGCTGTACACAGGAGATTATATGGATTGCATTCTTATACTCCTTCTGTGGATAAGATCCAAATAAATCCTACCCAGGGTACACAATTACCCTACAATTACAATTTAATCCTACAATTAAAAAGGATAGGACTACCCAGGGTACACAATTAAAAGGATAAAAAGTTATTCATTATAAACAAGGCCCATTCATTTTAATGGCTCGAAACTGTAAGTGGGACTTACACTGAATTTTACTTTATATTTTAATGCAAAGTTTGCTAAGCACATATTAACGCTGAAGGTGAGTTTTGCTAACATTTTTTCCTCATAAAATATACTCTTTTCTTTGAACAGATAAGAGGGTATCTGGAGTATAATGGTAACATGAAAGCAGGGCTGTGCAACTTGTGGC